CAAAACCCCAAAACCCCAAAACCCCAAAACCCCAAAACCCCAAAACCCCAAAAAGATGAAATAAGTGAGATATTTTAATAAAGATGAAATAAATGGATTAAAGAGTGTTGTGAGTTAAGTTTTTATGAGTAAATGAAATAGCATAGAAGAATTTGATTTCCTCATAGCTTGTCGAGGAAGTTGTCGAGGCCTGGAATACCTGGTTTAAGTCCCTTCCTCTTTCTGATAGTTTCAACCAAAACGCCTGACTTTGAAGTTGGCTCAGTTGGGTCAGTGGCAATAGTTTCCCAATGGTCGAAGACACATTGTGGGAAGGCTCTTCCTGAAGTCATAGATCTCAAGTGTTGAGTGAAACCGAATGACTCAGCGACTGGCAAGTAAGCCTTGACGATGATGAGTGGGGTTCCGCTAACTGGCTCTTCACCAATAACGATACCTCTTCTTTGGGTAAGAGTTTGATAGATACCTCCCATAGCATCATCTGGGGCTTAGATTTCGCACAAGAAGATTGGCTCAACGAATCTTGGCTCAGCAGTGAGTTGAGCAGCGTAGTAGACTCTTCTGGCAGTTGGGATGATTTGACCACCACCTCTGTGGATAGCGTCGGCGTGGAGGGCAACGTCCATAATGTTGAATCTAATACCTCTCATGTTCTCCTCAGTCATGACAGCCTCTTTAGTGGCCCATTGGAAGGCAGCTTCGCAAGAATCCTTAATTTCGTTAAGATATTGGACGGCCTTGGTTTAATCAACGAGAAGGTTTGGACCTGAAGTCTCTGGGCCGAAGCACCAGATCTTCTTGGCATCATTGATATCCCAACCGTACTTGTCAGCGAGCTTTCTGTTTCTTTCCTTTTGATCTTGCTTTGAAGTGATATCATCAGATTCAATACCATCAGTGAGTTCATCACCAAGTGGGCAGGCAACAACGTAAAGTCTGTTGTGCTTGTTTGGTGACTTTGAAAGACAAATTTGAGATGAAGTGGCTTGGACAGTCTCCTTGTAGGTAACGACTGGGTCTGATTTCTTGATTTCGCACTTAGCATACTCTTCAACGAGATCCTTAAGACAGATTTCAACGTGGAGCTCTCCGCAACCAGCAATAATGTGCTCTCCTGATTCTTCAGTGTAGCAGAGGACTAATGGATCTGACTTAGAGAGTTTCTTGAGACCTTCAACGAGCTTTGGAAGATCTGAAGCGTGCTTTGGCTCAACGGCGACTCTGACGACTGGTGAGACTGAGTACTTCATAACTCTGATGTTGTGGGCATCTTCGTGATCAGAAATGGTACCTTGCTTCATGAGATATTGATCGACTCCGACGAGACCAACGGTGTTACCGCATGGAACATCTGGAACAGCTTCGACCTTACCTCCCATCATGAGGACGGTTCTTTGAATGTTCTTAACGTTAAGATCGTTTTTGGATCCTGGGGTATAGTTGGGTCCCATGATTCTGACCTTTTGTCCAGTTTGGACGATACCTGAGAAAACTCTACCGAAGGCGTAGAATCTACCCTTATCGTTAGTGGGGACCATCTTTGAGATGAAGACCATAAGTGGACCTTTTTGGTCGCAGTTCTTGATGGCTTGACCACATGGATCATCGATTGGACCCTCATAAAGGTAAGCAGCTCTGTATCTTTGAGCGACAAGTGGGGATGGGAGTTTCATGACGATCATCTCAAGAAGAGCATCAGCAGCGTTGATCCACTTTTGGAAAACAGCCTTGAAGAGATCCTTTCCTTGCTTCTCTCTATCTTCTGGCTTGAGGTTGATCTCAAGATGGGTAAGCATTTTCCAGACGGCTTCTTTGTTGTTGTCCATGATGTTTCTGCAGAGTCTGACGATTGGCTCCATGATGAATTGAACGAAACATCTCTTGAGGTTTCCACCATCATCACCGACTTCCTCAGTCTTCCATTTCTTTCCCTTGGCATCATAGAAGTTGTCACCCCAAAGTTTTTACATCATCTTCTCGAAATCGACCTTGAACTTATCAGCATAGATTCTGGCGAATCTGGTAAGAGTGAAGGCCCATCCGAAGAGAGCGGAACCGAAGGCGACGGTACCCTTGCATGGATCAACTTGTTGACCCTCTCCCATATCATCAGCCTCGTAGGTTGAGATAATAACATTGGCGTTTTCAATAACTCTTTGGAAGTTTTGATACATGGTCTCACCTTCGACTTGGAGTTCGAGGATACCTCTATCAATCTTGTTAACGAAGAGAACGGGCTTGATCTTCTCTCCAAGAGCTTGTCTAAGCACAGTTTCGGTTTGCACACAGACACCTTCGACGTAATCTACGACGACGAGGGCACCATCAGTGACTCTCAAAGCAGCAGTGACCTCAGATGAGAAATCGACGTGGCCTGGGGAATCGATCAAGTTGATGAGATATGGTCTCTTATCACCATTGATATCTGATTCGTAGTAAAGGGAGACACCAGTTGATTTAATAGTGATACCTCTCTCTTGCTCATCAGCTCTGGTATCGGTGAATCTGGCTTCTCCAGCCTTAGCTTCGGAAATAATTCCGGCTTTGGCAATCAATGAGTCAGTAAGGGTTGACTTTCCATGGTCGACGTGGGCAATAACTGACATGTTTCTAATTTGATTAGGGATATACATAATCTCCCTAATTTGATCAATTGTAAAGTTGGGCATAGTTGTTTGGTTGACTTATTAAAGATATTCAATAGAATGATTATTTAATATAGTAATCCTTAATATAGTACAACTTTCCAATAATACTACCTATCAATGATTTAATATATACTATTAAATATTTCTCTTCTCTAAAGCTGAAAGTATTCTTGGCGGGTTTTGGGGTTTTGGGGTTTTGGGGTTTTGGGG